GCTCAATCAGGGGTTTTCCTACATAGAGCGAATTTTGGCAGCACCCCAGTGGGTTTTTAGTCACAGCCAATGGAAAATCACAAGTGAAATAAATGGTCATAAATAACAAAATGCAAATATAGTAACACATACATACTGCTTTGCCAAAGACCCGCTTTAATCCAGGAAAAAACCCGTAAGCATCATTTGTGAGTAGTTGGTTAATACGACCATGCCAACTGTGTTTTCAGGTCAAGAGGGAGCAACCATTGACTTTGATGAGGGAGTTTCTATTACTCCTTTCAACCTGGAAGAGGAGATGCAAGAAGGACACTTTGACTCAGAGGGAAACTATTTCATCAAAAAGGAGCAACAGATTAGAGACAACTGGCTTGATAACATCGACTGGGTAATTGAGTTCCTTTTTATTACACCACTGTTAATTCTTTCTCTGTCACTGTTTTTATTTTTTTGTCTGCTTTTTTCAGACCGAAATCTGCTTTTGAGTGTTGGTGTCTGTGTATTTCATGAGTTTGTAATCTCATTTTGGTGACAGGTGCTTCATATTTTAAACAGTGTTCAGTAATAAAAGTCTCTTCTTTCTTCAGGTGAGAATAAGAGAGCAGCCTTTCAAAAAAAAGAAGAAAGGTCTTGGAGCCAAAAGGACACGCAGAGCAGGTGATGAGGACGAGGCAGAGGAAGAAAAACAGAGAGAAGAACAGCAAGCAGACCAAGAAGAAGAAGAGGAGGAGGAAGAGGCAGAGCCTCCAGAGGACCCACTGGCATCCTACACACAGCACCAGCTCACTGAAGCTGTCATCGAACTACTGCAGCCTGGAGAAACAGTCGCTACAGCGCTCCGTCGGTTAGGAGGCCTTGGAGGACGGAAGAAGGGAAAGCTGAGGGAAGAAGAAAAATCCACAGAGGAGACCAAAGGGGATAAAGAAAAGCTTGATCGGCTCACAGCGCTAGCTGACCGACTGGTTGGATCCGGGATGTTTGAAATCTATCAGCAAACCTACGAAAAACTGGCCTACATGTTAAAGAGCATGACTAGCAAGCGGCCAGCGGTGGGGGGTGAGAAGGCGGAAGAAGGAGATGAGCTTGACATGTTTGCTGACAAGTTTGATGAGAAGCATGGTGAAACAGCTGAGGACAAAGATGACAATAATAGAGGTAATTTAGTTATTTTATCTGCTTTAATTTTCAAAGACTGTATTTTTGGTTTAATCCCATTTTGCCTTCCATCCAGTGAGCGATGAAGTGATGTGGGAGTACAAGTGGGAAAATAAGGATAATTCAGAAGTCTACGGCCCTTTCACAAGCCAGCAGATGCAGGTACTCTCCTAAAACTACTTGAAATTGAATGGCAGAACTTCTGTTAAATGTTTGTCGGTGACTGTTTAAAATAATCAGAAGGGAAATGGTTCCCTCTGTGGCCATTGATAACGGTAATCGAATAAGAATTAGACCAAAAATCTTTTCATCCTCTAAATCTGAGGCCTGGGTTTCCAACTGGGAATGGGTGGAGTGTCCATTCCGTGTTGGGGCTCCAAGTATCTCAGACTGTTGCAGCATCTACAGTAATGCAGACACTGCATCTTATACTGTACATTATCCTAATTGTAAAGGTGTTTGTTGTGGATCTAGAGCAATGTAATAATGAACCTCATAGAGTTAAGAGCTTTTAGGTTTAAGAAATTTTAAAAACACTAATGACATTCAGCTTTGAAATTTGAAATATCCTATCTTATCTTTTCTTTGTTTCTGGTGTCTTTCCAGGACTGGGTGGATGAAGGCTATTTCAGCAGTGGTGTTTACTGTAGGAGGGTGGACCAGGAGGGATCGCAGTTCTACAGCTCCAAGAGACTGGACTTTGAACTCTATACATGATTTAAGTCGAGTATTGAAAACTTTGAAGATAATATTATGTTTCCGCTACAATCAATTCTCAGCCTTTTCATGATTTTTTTTAGGGCTTTGGTTTCAGATCTGCCATTTTAACACTGGTTTTGTTTTCTGTACACTGTTTTTTAAAATAAATGATGTATGTGGTGAAGTAATCTGACATGTTTCTGTTAATCTTAGAATCAGATGACTCAATTTTAAGCTCACTGTGTTTTATTTCTTTCTTGACATGTGCTGAAAGTTTAAATAACCTTTCCAGTTGACGGTACATGTAGCGCATTTTGAGAGACTGAATTATTCAGTTATTGTAGAGTGATTTACACTTATAACCATGGTAAAAAAAAAAAAAGTTACACCCTCTTTAAATGATAAGGTTTTACTGTCCGGACATAATAAAAAAAATCACATATTACAGAGTGTCATTATTTAAAACAAGCCAAAATGCAGAAGCAGTGTGTGAAAGCATCCTCACTGGTTCCACAGATGGATAAAGTTGTGGTCAAGAGTTTACATCCACTCATGGGTGTGAATGTCATGGTAATTTGGGGATTTTAATTAATTCTTGGAACTATTCTTTTTCCAAGGTCGAATGATTAGACAGCATACATCTTTAATGTCTTTGAAAAAGAACAACTGGGTGCACATGTTTGAATTTATTTTGGATTTTGTCTAATCCACACAAGGTCAAAAGTATACATACAGACAAACATACAGACAACCCACTAATATTTTGCTAAACCTTCCTTAGCAAGTTGGACCTCAACCAGATGCTTTTAGTAGCCATCAACAAGCTACTGGAATAATTCTGGCTTGATATTTGACCACTATTCTTGGCAGAATTTGTGAAAGTTTCCAGGCTTTTAAACAGATGAGGTCGTGGCTTTTGATTGAATGTAAGGGACTCAACTTTTATGCATTTTATGTTAAAAAAGGGAAGTATAAAGAAGTATAAGCTATAACCCTGCCCCTTCTTATTGTTAAATAAATGACTGCAACATTCATCTTCCTTACAACAAAACTTATGGCCTACATATATCGAGATGTAAATCACACCAATGCATTAATATGTATACAAGCTACATACATTGACCTATATCTACACAAACATATGTACTCATAGATGTAGTCACGCACAAAGTCACTGATGTAGAGTCAATGTTTCGACTCTTTATTCCAGGATGAATAAATTAAGAGGGTAAGTAACAGCCCACTGCTGACTCAAAGCAGAACTTTTTGGCAGTTTTGCTGGTCCCCAAGTAATTCCATGGAGGAAATACATCTGCAAATATTTTAGAGAAACAATCGTTGCGTGCCAGTCAGTCTGGGAGGGGATATATGGCTGTTTCCAAACAATTTGAAGTTTATTATTTTACAGTGAGAAATATTATTCACAAGTGGAAAACATTCAAATATTCACAGTTATGAAGCTTTCAATGAATCAGGAGTTAGTCACTGAGTGGACCATGAACTCTTCTATACACCAAAGTTTTCTAGAGACAAATCTGAGGAGAGTTAAAGCTTAACTGAAACTGGGTCATACAGCAGGACAGTAGTCCTAATGCAGCAGCAAATCTATCACCGAATGGCTGAAAAAGAAAGGAATAAAGGTGTTGCAGTGGCCCAGACAAAGACCAGACCTCAATCTGATTAAAATGCTAAAGCATAAACAAATCTGGCAATCCTCACTGAACTGAAAAGAAGAGTGAGCCAAAATCCCTCCACAATCATGTGCAAGACTAATAAAGTCACACAGGAATTTTTACAGGTACTATTAATACTTCTGCCGTGGAAAATGCACATTTTCCATACAGAAGACTATACGTAGAAAGTAGAAAAAACAAAATCCAACTCTGATCAATTGCGTACATGTAACAAAAGATGGTGAAAGATGGTGCAGTAACTGTTCGATTAGCTGACTATTTAGTAAACATAAGAAAAAGAAGCGGTTTGCTGTTGGATGTAAAAAAAATTCTCACGTTGTCACACGTTATACTAAATTGGATATTTGAGGGGGGGGGGGTGCTAATATTTGGTATTTTTATGAAATTATGCGAGCAAAGCTACTTATTGTTGCATTAATAAGTAGTGAAAAAACAGCAACCATTCATAACTATCAAATAAAGCATAGGTAAAAGAAAGAAATTAATTAAACTGGTTAAAAACGTATTTGTTAAATATATTTTTTGACCCCGAAGAACAACATTCTGATTCGATGCCATATTCATTTTATTCAATTTGGCCGCAATTGTAGGTTTTTGAGATACTGGGTCACCCGAGGACGCGTTAGAAATATAATTTTTGCAGCCATTTGTCTTTGCGTTCCTATTGGTTGCCCTCAAACGACGACCCTTGTAATCTTCTTCTGATTGGTCAAATTTCAACAGGACTTTCCGGGCGGAAAAGAAGTCGAGCTGTGATTGGACAATCCGTCTGCCTAAGATGTTTGGTACAAACGGATAACATCTTCGAGTCACTGCAGGGCGCCGTCGCTGCTGCATGTCTTGTTTACGGTAAGGTCAGTTTACTACGCTGCGGTCCAGCTTATCATTTCAGGTAAGTTTCTTTAATCCTGTTTAGCTACTATAACAATTTGCGGCTAAACTACGAACAGAAGTTTAGCTCCCCGATAAAAAATGGTCGAACCTTTGGAGATGACAGTTCCTTGGCTACGACTATTGCCTGGTGCCGTAATTGACTGCTGTACACTGTGAATATCGGCGTCAGCCAAGGCATGCATTGTTGGCAGAGTTGTCTTAACGCTCTACTTCAGATAAAACGCAGTATATTTTACGACAACCATTTCAGTGGTTGAGTCAAGATTTGCTGTGGTTTTCGTACGTTGGCTCATAAATAAAAGTTTGAATGTGAAGCTGTGATTTCCAGCAAGTAGACCTCGCCCAATTTTGATGGAACAGCCGTTTCCATTCGATTAAAAGCGATGACTGGATTCCTTCGTGATGGAATAGCAATAAAACTACGGTGCATTTCCCTTTTACTGCTTTCTTGTTTCTATCAACTTATGTTAGATCTAAGCTTAGACAACTTTTTTCTAATGGACTCGAGGCGCAAATGAAAGGATACGGAATGCCAACCACAATGACTGGCATAGATTGGGAGCTGAAATTCAAAGGTTGAGAACCGAGGGTTTGCCTTCAATTGTACTTTTTATTATAATATTAATTACATCGTTGCAATTTTAATTATTATAATTGGCGTTTATCAATTTTAAAATGATGTACTGTGAGCAAAACGTTTATTTGCACGTCTCGCCAATGCTGCACTTAAAATCTAATTATTTCTGCGTCATAACTAAGCATGAAATTACTACGAGAAATTAAAATCTTTTTTTCACCACGTTGATAGGAATTTTTCTAATGCACAATAATCAATTATTGTTTTCAGTGATTCCTGTATTGTATTAACGTTAACTATATTATTTGTACGTTTTGTTGCTTTTATTTGATCATTTAGTAGGCTATAATATCAAATATCCAAAATTTCTGTTTAACTGTGTTTTTTCCTGGCTTTATATGATATTAAATCTAGACTTCTGCTGTGATGCTATGTTATTGTCAGACATTTTGTGTATATATTCTAAAAACTTGTTATTATTTTTTAATTTTTTTCAATTGCAGAATAAAGTCTCATCTCAGGGTTTAGCAAAGTAAGTGAAAAATCCATTTCAAGACTTGCTTTCAAATGCTGATGTGCTGTTTTGGTGCCCCGCATGTTTGTTTTATTTTTCATTGTTGTTATTTACAGAGAAGGCCAGACAAGGAGAGGGAAAAAGAGAGCGAGAGAGCAAGGGGATGTTGACTTATCCCTCTGACTCACTCACTCAGATAGTTTGTCCAATGGATGAAGATGCTATCCCCCCAAACCCTTTCTGTAGTGCACCTCCCCACAGTGAACCTGCACCACCTTTCCTCTCCCTTTCCTCCATCACTCCCAGGTATAGTTGTCCTGGCACCTCTTGCTTTATTTTGCTCTTTGTATAATTTCCCCTTCTTGCATTAGGGCACTTTTTTTTCTTTATGAAAGAATGACTTTACGATCTGTAGACACATAGTGGGATTACGCAGATTGAAATGATGACCGATTCCTTTAATATCTTTAAATGTTCACAGTTTTAGTTACTAAGTTACTAGTGTTAATTTTCATCTTATATGTGGCATTTAAGGGGCTTCTATATAGCGATGCATTTTGCAGATTTGATTATCCTGATGTTTTTTAATCCAAGTGTCTTCAGCTGCCACCTGGGATAAATGGCACAATCTGCCTGACCTGAGGGGTGTAGTATGAATCAAGAGCAATGGGTTAAGCTTCCAGTCAGTCTTCATTTTCTGTTCATCATCACTTTTGTGTGAAAAAAGGTTGATCAAAATACATTAAAAGCCTTCATTTATGCGAGCTTGCACAGACCGTGAAGCGCAAACCTTGGGTTAACAGACCGTTCATACCCACAGTTGTGATGCCTGTTGTTTCAGCCTTAAGTTTTAGGTTTAGTCAAGGCAGCTAATGCAAAGAGAGCCTGGCTATAATATTGAACTTGCTTTGTCGCACCCTAAAGTGCAGACAACCACTAGTGTTTAGCTTTAAATAGCCTCTCCAGACAGCAGGTGGATCTGTGGAAGCTGGCAGGTAGACGAGCTTAGGTGGGATTATCTGTGTTTTTATACATATTTAAATGGCAGAATCTGTTAACCTGGTTTGGTGTAAAATTTGTTTAGGATGTTGAACTTTAATTGTCAGATGGCCTTGTAGCTATCATATTTATGCAGGCTGGATTTCGCATCTTTTCTATTCCCGTTACACTGCATGTCTTTCATCATAACTTGGATAAATGGGTTTCTTTTCTTTTCTTTTTTTTCTTGTTTTATCCTTTCACAGCCGTCCAAATGATGGAATATCTGGCCACAGAAGGAGTGGTCGCATTCAAGGCATCCGAGCTCAGACTCCTAAAAAACAAAGTAACACAGACAGTCAAGCAGCTCAGAGACCGACTAAACAGAATCCGTCCCCCACAAAGAGACAAAGAGAGAGTGGGATTATGGTAGGACTCTAACATAAAGTCTTTTCGATGGTCTTAGGTAATGAAATAAATCACAGTTAACACACAATCTCTCTCATTTATAGGTGCAAGCGGCACAATCTAAGCAGTCGAGAGTGGAAGGAACAGATGCACACGACAACCAAAACAAGGTAACTGTCTGATTCTCTGAGATACGTTTTCTTATCACATAGCTCTGTAAGGAATAGATTAAAAGACAAACTGAGACAGCCTGTCTGCATGTCCTCGGTTATATTTTTTTTCGGTGTCTAATCTCTGCATGCAGATGCTGTACAGTAGACCTGTACAGTGAATGGGGTGTGAGGCTTAATTGAGCGATTTAATCCTCCTTCACGGTCTGCTGCATCCGACATAGACAAGCAATCGAGTGTTATAATGTGACCTAATACTGTGCAGACCGCAGATTTTTAATGTAACAATGTTTTCGTTGCAGAAGAGTATTTGTATTACAATTAAATCCAGAGCCAACAATATATTATAACTAAATAGGTTACTGAGCTACCAAACTTGGTATCAGCTGTTTACAACCAATTTTGTCTCACCAAATTTTTAAAAATGAGCTTCTCTTAATTTTAATCTACGCAGTGTGATTTTATTTTTAATTTTTTTAATGAAATATGAAGGGAAAACTGGGGAGGAAGGAGGGACATGAGACCCAATTATTTGTTATAGTTATGCAAAACATATGGAAAATTAGTGGGAAAAAATTTTCCCTCTATAAGCAGCAGCATTTAAATGTTAGCTTGTTAGTATAAATGCTCAGCCAAGCACACCTTAATGTTTATAAATTATTTCTAAAATATTTATGTTCTTATTTTGCAGGATGGATTTGATTTTGGCTTTACAGCAGAATGGCAAAATAGGTAAGTGTGACTGATGATTTTTCACAGTATGTATAGTGCATAGCCATTTAGTAGTCTTGATTTAGGCCTTCTTTTTTATCTTATCCCTTACAACTTCATTAAGTGAATAATAAAATATTTGTAGTGATTTTCCCCCCGGAAAATCACTGATGACATGGATAATGAAATGCATTTATCTGTACTGTAGAAATCTCTATTTCTGTGATTATTATGTTATTATATTTGGATATTATACAATTCCTGACTTTCTCTGGAAATCAAAATTGACTTTTTTTTGTTTGTCATAGGCAAAAGGACCAAAAACTCCCAGAGCAGAAATTAAATCCGTCTCCAGGAGAAAATGTTGATAAACTGTTGGATGAAAATGTCCCAGAGAGTCTTGATGCCGCCAAATCTGACATGGATACATGCGGGGATGTGGCTGCTGGACACACTGCTGAAAATGCATATGCCCCAAAGGGATGGGTGATCGGCCCGTTGTTTCAGTCGTTCAAGTCAAAGATGGCCAGTTTCACAGAGATAGTCATGAGTCCTGTTAAACTTTTCCGAGCCAGCAGTCCTCCACTGTCAGTGGACCATTCTGACAGACTCGATGAGCTAAAGGCTGATGGAACAGCTGATGTTGAGCGTTCAGAGCCAAGCAGTACGCTTCATCCTGAAGGACAAAGTGAAAATGACAATCAGCACTGCAGAGCTGATCAAAACGAGCTCACTAATGTAGGAGATGCACAAAACACACAAACTGTTTCTCCTAAATATTCTAAAAAATTAGATTTTGATGAGGATTCAACAACAGGTTCAGAAATCGTTGATGAATTTGCAGTACACCAGAAGGAAAAAACCTCACCTGCCTCAGTGCCTTTGCCACACTACCCCTCACAACTTGGTGTTTCAGAGTCTGTTGGCTCCTCTGTCGTTTTACGGTCCTCTGCCAGTGTAAGTGCCTCTTGTGAATCCAGGTCAAAGATGTGCATTGCTTTGGTGGACCAGAAATTCAAGACTTCTGTTCGTCTAAAACCACTTTCCAGAAAACGTGCAGGAAATAGATCTGGCTTGAAGAGGGTTGACTTCAAGGAAGAGTCTGACCCAGAGGTCAGCAAGAAGCAGCTTTCTTACCAGACCCTGGACTCAGATGACCCTGAAAAAATGCTGTCTTCATCTTTCTCAGTTTCTTACGCTCAGCCTGGCATGGACTGTTTTCAGCCTGATGGTGATGAAAAGAAGGAGACTGAAGAAAGCTGCAGCTTGGTTCAAGAAAGCCTCCAAAAGAGTCTCGATGACAGTGTTAATAAAAGGACTCTGAGGTCCAGTTTAGATCTGCAACAACAGGAGTGGCGGCTAAATCAGGATAAGTGTTCAGTTTCTGGTTTTGTGAGAGAAAAGAGAGGGTTGAAACTGAACTGTCATTCCCAAGACTCTGTAAAAAGAAAAAGACTGACACCAGATACACATACAAAAGTTACACAAAAGCAAGAGTTATCAAACACAGCTTCAGGGAGAGAAGAAATCGAGTTAATAAATGAAGAAGCACCGAAGCTTGGAAGACAGAGACAATCTGTTTTTGTGTCAACAAGAACGACTAGGAAAGGAAAATCTGGTCAAGAAATGCTTGGTACAATCAATGAAGCTGTGTTGCACTCGCAAACTGAAAGTTCCCCTGATGCTATGTTGGTTTGTTCACTGGATAAAAGCACTGGTGTGGCAGAAGACAACCACATGAGCTGCAGAATCAAAGCAAGCTCTGCTACTTCATGCAAAAGGCAGAACAGAACAGTTATTAGTAATTCTGATGTAAATATTGATGCCAGTATGGATCTTGAAACTACTGTAGCAATCACTTCTACAAACCAAGATGAGCTGTCGTCCAAAGCGCTCGTCCGTCCTTGTATAAAGCAGCTCCAGAATACAAGTAAGTGCAGGAATATTAACAAGAAGCCACAGAAACGGAAATCGCAAAATCAGATAAGTCCAGTGACAGAATCAGACAGCCCTTTGGTGTCTACCTCATCGGTACTGTCAGTGGGCCTAATGGAATTCGTGCCTAAGGATTTTAATACCTCTCAACATGCTGAAAAAGGAAAGGACTTGATAAGAGGGCTGAGCCAGCCGACTAAGAGACCCAAAAAGGGTCTTAGAGGTGCTACTCAATCATGTGTATCCAGTAGGACTCTAGAGAGACAGCAATGTGTCATCAACCTTCAAGAGAGTCAGTCTAAAGAAAGTAAAAGTAAAAACTCAACGGAGACTGTATATTTTGAAATGACTCCCTTTGAAAGTAATTTCCACCCCCTTCCTTCACCTTCACAACTTCATGTGGACTCTCTTTTAAATAATGATATTAATAATAGGCACACTCAGAAGAAACTAAAGAGTTCAGCTTCTGTGGCAGAAGAAATATTTCACACGGACTCTGAAGTTTTTAATGAAGGAGGTGTCAGTCTCTCTAGGCTAAGGTCTAGCACAAGAAGAGCTAACATAAAGCCCAGGCAAGCAGATAACCAAAGGAGAAAATGCCGAGTTCTGCACAGTAGGACACGCAAAAGTGAAGAGGTGACAAACTCTGTCACAATGGATGATGTAAATCTAGCAACGTCAGGTGCACGCTCATCAGAAAACGGCTTCTCACACCGCCTGTTACGCAGCTACTCTTGCCCAGAGATCCTCTGCCTCCATCCCCATGACACAACTTGGACCTCACCACATCCCAGCAGGACTCTCACATCACACCAGTCCTCCCACAGTCCTTCTGTCTCTCAGGCGCAGAAATCCCTGCGGCGGGCTCGACGACACACAGTCTGCAGCGTGGAGGTGGAGAGGGAGATCGCCCCCCTGTGTCTTCGTAAAGAGGTGTACCCATCTAGAAGATCTACCCTGTACGACCCCGTCACTCATCACCCGTCTCCTAGTATTGCACTTTCCCCCAGCACCTCCGTCTCTGCTCTTGCTTCCTGCTTCCTTTCAAGCCCCCTGGCTTTCCTTTCTAAGAGGTTTGACAGCAAAGGAGTTGCTGGCAGTCTCAGCACTTGTAGCCATGTTTCCACTCCCTCCTCCGCTTCATCTCTTACATCCCCATTAAGCTCCTCCACATGGCACCATTCAAGAACAGATTCCTCTGGTGCTGCCGTGGATTCTAGCAGCAGGTAACATTCTTCGTTAAAGTCTGTAGTATGTTTGGAGGTGTTAATGCCAAGCTAATATTAACTCTCAATTTCTCTGAAGTGGGAATCCATTGGAGTGTGAGACTGAGAGGAGACAACAGAGTGAGGAAGAGGATGATGGCGAGGAGACAAGTTCTTCCAGTCAGGAGTTTGAAGATGGCGGGCTAAGAGAGGAAAAGGCTCACTCTGATTCTGAAATTAAGGTACACGTTATTTAAAATAAGGTGACGGGGTATTTACAGATGTGTACTGTACAATTTACAGTTTGTTAGTTGCCACTTTCAGCCATACTTTTCTGAGATCACTGCTGTTATTTGTGCTTTATTGTATTTTTAAATAATCGTTAATCTCTTTGTTTATCTCAACAGATGGTGCAAAAGCATGAGGAACGAAGAAAGGTGTCCTCTATCAGAATTCGGAAAACTTTACCCAAGCCTCAAAATAACCTCACACCCATGGGGCTGCCCAAACCCATCAGGTATGTGCTCTATATAAATAGGTATCAGGTTTTATTTCACTGTTTCAAGCATCACTAGGCATCAGTTATGTTACACATTTATTTATATATGTGTGTGTGTGTGTGTGTGTGTGTGTGTGTGTGTGTATATACATACACAATGTGTATATATATTTTTTTAATTACATGGTGCTATTTATTAAACATGTTTATTAAGACACTAACAAATTTAATATTTTGCCAGCATTTTTCTTTTGTTATGTTGTGTGTTTTTACACTTGAAGGATGGAAGCTAACTGTGGGCACAAAAAGCTCAGATGCTGATTTTTTTTTTCCTTTTTGCAAGCTTTGATTTCAATTAGCATGTAGCATATATCTTGACTTAAGCGTGTATCTTAACTTAAGCGTGTATCTTGACTTAAGCGTGTATCTTGACTTAAGTATATGTGTGAGAAAGTGTATTTGAAGTAAAACTTGCAGCGAAAGGGGGAGCTCGCTATAAACGAGCGGTATGTAATAATGAGTGAAATGAGACTGGGGTAAATGCATCGCAATTTTCATTTTATTAATTTTATCCTATTTTTTTAATATATCAGAATCAGAGAGACCTTTTTAATCCGAGAGGGATTTATTAATTGCAGAAGAAAATTGATATATATTGGTAAATTCAGGATCTATGGTTTGCTTCAAAATCAAAAAAACATTGATTTCTCCTAGCTCCAGTTCAGTTGGGGCAAAAAAGTAGGACAGATTCTGACTGATCTACCACTGAAAGGAAATTTATGTCAGTGCATTTCAGCACATGCAAGTTTTCTATTGATGTCTCTTTGATCAATAGAGATGCTCCAGCAGTGGTTTGTCTTTTTGTTCTGTTACATTACAGGCTGAAAAAGAAGGAGTTCAGTTTGGAAGAAATTTACACCAACAAGAATTTCAGCAAACCCCCTGAAAGGTAAGTTTGAGAGAAGCAACCACTGTTCCCTTAATTATTCCGTTTCTGAATATGTCTGCTTCACGTCTTATCGCCACTCTTTTCCTTAAGGCAAAGATAAGATTCTGCTGTGGTCCTATTCACAGCCTACAGGCAGCTTTGCAGACTGCTGTCTATTTGTAGCAGCTGTTTACTGTCACCAGGATGCAGGATCTGCAGCTCTGGGCTACGCTTGCTTGTCCTGTTGTTGGTACTTGCTTGCTGTGAAGAAGAAGGAAGTTATAACAAATAAATGGCTGAAGTCAAACAGAGATTTTAAAAACAGTCAAATTTAGGGCTGTTAGATATAACGATATATATCGGATGACGATATTAAAACATCTATCGTTTCATTTTACGCTATCGTTTGTTTCGTGGTGTCTCAAAATAAACTGTTTACCGCAATATTTTTTTCATCGTTTTGATGGTCACTGTAGTGGTTATATTAATTTCTTAAAGTTCTCTCTTTCTCTTATATTTAATATAACCACACTAAGGACGGACAAGCGCCTGTTTTTATGCGTTGTCGTTAGCAAACCATCGCGTGTCCGCTTGTTTATTTTCCACATAAACCTTTCACAATAAAGCTCAAGATCTTGTTGAGACTTTTCAAAATGAACTGAATCGCATGAAATAGTATGCAGAGTATTTACTAATGATAAGCAAAAAAGAGCCGTCAGGTGCTAAAAAATAGACCTTAGACTCAAACGTTAGCACAGGCTTTTCCCCGCAGCACGCCGTGTAATAAATACTCACAAAGAAAACGGCGGCCGTTACAACTTATGTCTAAAAATGTATCGTTTCATGCATCGGTTAAAAGACTCGACTCCAGGTACACGACGCCCAGCTGGAAAAACTTCATGCAAGTTGAGCTGCCCAAGATTCACAGAATTTACAGAAAATGTTAAATTTTTGTGATTTATGTCGTTATTGGGATGATAAATGTCTTATATCGGGATATGAGATTTTGGTCATATCGCACAGCCCTAGTCAAATTTGTACTTCTCCTCAGACTTTCATATTCTTTGTGTATTGCCTAATATTTGAAATATCACTATCAGTCTTGTATAAACTTGCTGCATTAATCAAATCCTGCTTGGGACACAGTATAGTTTAGTAAAGAAGGTTAGTCTAACCAGAGGGTGGCACCACAGGAAAAGTCATATAATCTAAATCAGCTGAATCATTCTATTAGAAATGAAAAGGTGTGGTGAGTGTGTTTGTGCGTGTAATCAATTTTCTGCTGCTTTACCTCAGTGACCTGACTGGAATTTTTCACTTGCATTTCAGCCGGTTGGAAACCATATTCGAGGAGGTGCCTCTCAATCGCAGGAATGGCTCTGAGTCCTGGTTTGGTCAGAGGCGTGTGAAACGATTTTTAGAGTTCCTGGAGGTCGGCGAGGTCAGAAAACCAAAGAAGCCACTTGTCGGAGTGAGTAAAGCAGGTATTTCCACTTCCAGGCCCCGACGAGGGGGCTTCCTTAAAGACGAACCGTCCCTCAGCGTGCAGGATGTGGACTCGCTGCTCTGTGCGAAGCTGGATCAGCTCAATTTGTGGTTGATTCATGATCAGAAAGACAGCTGACCGATGCCTCTCAGGTGACTGTTTTGGCAGCCATTAAAAACCAGATAATACTGTCTATATAAATATTTCAACATGAAGATTGAGTGTGCCAGCAACTCTTTTTGTCAACACGGTCTGTATAAATGTTGTGGTGGCAAGTTCTAAATGAAGAATGTTTATTCTGTAGCGTTTGTAGCCTGAAATTTGAAGAACAGTACATGATAGCGCCGTTAAAAGTATTGCCTCATAAACGTGGTTAAGAATGTGTAAAGTAAGTCGTTTTTCAATCATTGCCATCGCTGTCCCTTCTTCCTTTTAGTTACGATCCGTCCATGATGGATGAAAACTGTTAGCATCAGCAAAAAAAATCAACAATATGAAAAGCCAAACTCCCTGTCAGGGTGACTCAGTGCCATTCACTTACAGTAACTGTGTGTTTGATAAGTGATAATGCACTTTGTGTCTGATTTCTCCAAGTGCATTTGGGCCATTTGAGTTGTAACTTTAAAAAACAAACAAACCTGAGATTTAAATGTTTATTGTTTAGGGGGAAAGGAGATTGAAGTGTCACAGTTTTAATAAAATTGAAAGCCTGAAATCATAACCTCAAAGGAAGAATGGGTTACGTTTTTACACCAGAGATGTAAAGAGCAAGTCTTAGGTGCAAATGTCAGTGAGGAGGTGCAGCAAAACCCAGCGCATAAATGCGATCAAGTTGTATTTTGTTTTGTTTCTGTCTGTCTGGGTGATAGGTGATAATATGGTTCTCGACTTAAATCGCCAGCATTTATATAGTTCTTAATTATTCGTGTCAGTCTGTGGGATCTGTGATATGATGAAATTGATCCAGCCTTAAAATTTCTCGTAAATTTAGGAATTTAATCTTTGGTGTTCTTGTGGATTACGACTTCCTTGCTAGCCTATTCACCGAGAATGGCCCTAATACACAGAATCCTAATCAGCTGTCTGTTTTTGGAAGAAAGCAGTCAATCACCTTAGATGTTGTGACCTTACCACATCATTGTAAGTGGTTATATAGGCAGCTATTTTTTTTTTTTTTTTAATTAACTAAATGCTGAATACAATATACTCTTCAAGGTGCCAGGTGGAGATTCATAGTCACTGGACTCGGTTTCACAACCACATTTTGTACAATCGGTCATCTACATGTAGTTTGGACTGCATACATCATTGTACTCAGCTCAGGGCAGAGCCTCAGTGAATGGTTTGTGTTTGTGATTTCATACCTGTGGAGCTTTCTTTTGTATTAAATGTGCCATAAAGACAATATGACTCTCCAGTAAGCATTTCTAATGATTACTGGAAGTGTCCACTGCTGTTTTTCCGTGGTGTTTATATTTGCATTGCAAGTATTAACTTGTCATTAAACAGCCTATACGTGTTTATTATATATTTGCCAAATGTTAATGGGGTTGCCTTAACTGTAAAAATGTGTTTAAATAGGTGTTTTGTCTGCACATTTGTAATCATTGGTGGGTTTTTTTTGTTTGTTTTTATCTGTGCGTGTTAAAATGTTTCTAGCAACTCAGAGCACAAAAGTCATTTTATTATAAAATTGTTTAATGTTTGTATAAAAGTGCAGCATATATACATTTGACATTAATAAAGCGAATACAGTAACAATGCAATAATGCCAATGTGGTACACCAAGAGCAGGACCTCATAATGTCCTGATGAAACACTGCCACGATCACTGCCACGCATTTTATATCCGGTAGAGACTCAATCCTGAAGTTATTCGTTGCTATAATTGAGTGACTTGTTGACTGATTCATTAACTTTCTTAATATCTGTAGTTATCTACAGTAAGACAGTTAAAGTGTAATGGAGAGTATTAAAGTTTGGGTAATTACTGGAGCGTAACAGGTGTAATCTTTGATTTATAATGTATATGTGTGATATTGTGTCACGTTCTGTAACTATAGGCAATGCTGGATTTTTACATTTGCAGTTGGAATTGTCCACATGTTCATATAATGTCAAATAAATATTACAGCATACAGTACAACAAACAGTTTTAATACATTTAATACGATTTTCAGCTGTGTTTGTTCTTGTAAAGGCTGATTAGAACGCATTCAAGCTAAACAAATTTAGTATTTTTAAGGTTATTGTAACGTTTAGTTACTCCATAGCTTCAGTGATATAGTTGATCAGAATCTTTAAAGACACTCCCCTGGATGTGCTCCACTGAGGTTTGTCAATCAAAGCCCAGGTTTGATAGGACCAGCACCAGTAATACCAGTGTCAAAGAAGCTGACACCAGGATGGAAACCCATGTCACGATGGAGATGATGCTCCATTTTTTGGCCTGTCTTAAATACTTTGCAGCTCTCCTTTCGCTTGTCCGGTTGGCTTTCTCAGCTTTGTCAGCATTCTCAGCCTGGTGAAGTAAAGATGTGACAATACTTTTGATTTAAAGATCATGCCAAACAAACATGATGAATGACTAGTGTATAGTTGTAAAGAGATGTAGCAGATAAGGTGTTTGTCAAATATAAACATGCTTATCCTCATAAGAAAGTTTTCAAATGCTGGTTTGCTGTAGGTTGCCTGCCTGCAGAGAAAATAACATACCTTTACAGAATAAACCAAGGCTGGGACTCCCAAGCAGGAGAACCCACAGATGATACTAGAGATGGCCAGCTTCCTGTGGTACTTGTCACTGCAGCAGGACGCAGCAGAGTCCTCACCGACACAGATTACTTGATTACCAGTGTCCTCAGGTTGGTGAACACCTGTTCCTGGTACAGAGTTCAGCGGGAGCTCTTCCTCTATCGGTGCATCTAACTGATATGGCTCTGACATCACTGCAAAATATGCCGTCAAGTTAGAGAAAGTTTAAACTCAAAGACAAGACGTGGTAAGCTGTGTGAGACAACTTTAAGCCATGTAAAGATTCTGTGTGCACAACAGCACTGGAAGGATAAGTTAATGGTTTCAGTAGCTGCTTGATAAGAATGTTTGTTTAATGGATAAAAAGGAGTTTTAAGGAACTGGTTTCATTCTATCTGCTGGTTTCACCCTGCTTAGGTAAATGTTTATTTTGTTATTGCTCTGGCTTTTTGACTTATACATTACACTGCATTAATAGACAGAACAGTCCAAATAATCATCAAAGGCTTTAATCTATTAATTCTTTTAGCTATATTGTCCTTAATTTTTCAAATCAGTCTTTCCTTTGTGAAACTGGAGCGCTCGGGGTGAACTGTTGTTGCTGACCATGTGGCTTGTGTTACAATGAGTTGGCTTGGGGCAGCTTTAATAATTAATTTCCTACAAGACTGTACAAAATCCCACTTAAAAAATTTATATGAAATGCCTTCTGCATGTCTAAATATCCCTCTCCATGACCACCTCTTCCCTGGGAATACCGAGGCATTCCCAAGCCAGATGAGAAATATAATCTCTCCAGTGTATCCTGGAGCTGCCTCCACCCGCTGGGACATATCCCAAACATCTCAGCTAGTAGACAGTCCCTCCTGAATGATTGAGCTTCTCACTTCATCACTACAGGAGAGCCCAGATAAAATTCAAAAAGGAAGAAGCCTCATTTTGGTCACTACCCACTGGTGTGTCCAAAGCTGAATAATAAGCTGTAATAATAACACAAGTCAATTGGTTGGGCACACAAGTTCAGCGGCAATGCCCCTGACTTACGCATGGTGCTGTAAAGGCAGCCAGGACAGTCCCGCAACATCCAGAAGCTTAAAAATTCATGGGGGTAGATTTGGTGAACTCAGCCACAGTAGTGAATGAGCCATCCTTCTTGTTCCCAGACTCTTTCCTCTAAACAAAATTGGGATATAGGACATTAAAAGTACTCCTTCTACTTTCTCACCATATGCTCAGTTGAGGTTCTCCTGTCCATGCTCTGACCAAACTCCCCCCACACCCAAGTTTCTCCTTAAGCTATTGATAGAGCTGCACTGGCTTGGCGTGCTGGCACTCATTATCTGCCTCCTGAGTCCCACAAACCAATCAGATTCGACCCTTCTTCAGCTTGACAGCTCTCTTCACCTCCATCTGATTTGGGGTTCCCCCCCAAAAGGCCACAACCACCTTATGGCCACAGCTCCATCAGCAAAGAAGGAGCAGAACAGTATCTATTTAGACTTAATGCCTCCAGCCTCCTTTGAAATTTCTGCTGGAGGTTTGAATTGAGGACTTTGTGGAACCAGGTGCTCCCAGCACCTCCCAGCACCCTCTTGCTATATGTTCGTGTACACCAGGTTAGTCCAGCATCCATTCCCACCATCAAATCAGCACCGCTCCTCTCTTCACCCTAGTCTAAACATGTTCTGCAAAATATGCAAAATTTGTAGTGTATTTTTTTAAGTGCGTGTGAGAATTGTTTTGGGGGGGAGTGGGTATTTTCACAGGAAATAAAAAGTATCCCATGAAAAGTGTAACATGAAGAGGATGATAGGTATCGATGTTCCCTGTTACCTAAAAACAAAACAAAAGAAAAACACTCCCTCCTCTCTAAAAACAAACCAAAAACTTGAAAAACTTGATTGGCTGGTGCAATCAAGAAAATGTATCAGCTGAGTGTTGGACTGTAATATTACACAGTGCTGTGAATGATTTGTAATAAACAGCAACTAAATTATGGCCTGTATCTTCAAATATAGTGAAATACTACAGTAAATATGAGTTGATTGAGATGGTTTTAAATTACAGTACAAACCTGATTTCTTCGGTCTGATGTCACTCCTTCAGCGAAGCAAAGGTTGTCTGGTTTCTTTTTAGGGTGATATCAAAGTCTTGAGATGATAAGCAGGTATGTTCTCTCCTCCTTCTGTAACCTGACGTGTCTTCCTTTAAAATATGACAGTTGAAGTTTAAAAATTTCCACAAATGGTCATTCAAACACCGTTCGCCTGGTTGTAGGGCGGCGACATAAACCTGTTTCTACCATGTACGTTTCTGAATGACAGGACTGTGCACGAGGAAGGAAGCTGCGCCTGATAAAGACTGTAACTGGTTGAATCTGAAGGTGGCACCAGAGGAAAGGTCGTGTTATCTGAATCAGCTCTATCTAAATTGCTTTATAATAAGTAGGAAAATAAGTGTGTCATTCATAATATAGTCTGTACTATATTACCTTACCCCTGACTGGAACCTGTCACTTGTGTTTCAACATGCTGGATATTCGAGGTGCATGAATGGTTCTGATTTGGCCAGAGGTCGTGACATTTTGAGGTAGTTCCTCAAAGTCGGTCTAGTTTGTGTTACCAGGTTTAATAAATCTGCACAAACAAATTTCTGGTGACTGGTACGTTTATATTAAATCATAAAATGTTTTTGTTTAGGTTTTCTCATCACACCATAGTAAACAGGAAATGGAACAGCTGAGCAGGAGGGGCGCAAACCTTGTGCCAAGCATCAGCAGCAGCTCGGTGTTCAAGATGGATGCATCATGTGGGGTCCCAGAGTCATTATTCCACCCCAGGATGAACACAGATGATTGCAGTGCTGCACGAGGCTCATCCAGGCATTTCTTGAATAAAAACGTTGCCAGATCATTAGTGTGGTGCCCGGGAATGCAGAGCTCTCTGGAGGAAAAGGTAAAAGCATGTTCTCAATTTCAGAGAAACCAAATACAGGCACCACCTCCAATCCATCCATGGGAGTGGTCTAGCCATTCATGGTCCAGACTCCACCTAGGTTTTGCTGGCCAATATATGCGTCACATAATGGGTCCAGTCACTACTGACGGACTCCCAGGAATCTTGGATTGCATGGACTGGCTTTTCCTGTTCCAGTTTCTGATTACACCTCACACAACCACAGGCATGAACCCCAGATAAATTGTTGATGAGGAGAAGTCCTCCTTCACCCAAATGTGGGAGCCAAAGTCGCCCAGCCACATGGGTGACCTCTCCAAACGCCCTGATAGACTGAACTATTAAAAGAATGTGGTCAGTACAAGTAACACTATACATTAAAAAAAAACAACTTTGTCATGTATTAATGAGATACTGTGAAACTATTAAAATATTTTGTTTTGTACGCACAAATACTTCAATCAAATCAAAGCATAAAAAATCTGTCATTTTATTAGAAAACAGCTTGTGTTAATGCTTGTATAAAAGTACAACATGTATATATATACATTTGACATTAATGAAGTAAATATTGTAACAATGCAGTAATCCCATGGCAATGTGACATTGGGTTTTTTTAATGAGTGCATGTTAAAATGTGGATGAAGACCATAAAAGTTTCCTCATTTTATTATAAAATTGTTAATGTTTGTATAAAAGTGCAGCATATATATACATTTGACATTAATAAAATAAAATAGCAAGAACAGGACCTCATAATGTACTGATGAAGCACTGCCCC